TTGCGGGGATGAAAATTGGGAATGTAGAAAAACAAGCCTCCTCGGAAGTCAAGATTTCTGTCAATCAAAGTGCCGTCCAATGGCCAACTTTATTTAACAAAGTAGTTGAGGCTGCTTGGATTTTGCTCTTCTATTTATCTCCATCTGCTCAGAAATAATTCTTATTGAGGCCAATTGAGATAACTTCCAAATAAGAGAACTTAAAGCCTCATTAATTTATATCATTTTACTTTAGAGGTTTTATAATAATCTATCACACGCTGGAACCTGCTGCATTGTATTGAGGGATTTGCAATCTACATTATTAAACTGGGATATGTTGCCATAATTTATAGTACATCAAATTATCTTGTTTTCAATAAGAGAAAATCCAGAATGTCTATGGCGATTCTCAGTCATCCAGGTCATGGTTGTATCAAAGGTTCTTTTTCAAAAGGCACCTGGACTTTGTTTTCCCTTGAAGATGTTTCACTTCTCATCCAAGAAGTGAATCCTTCCATACTTCACCATTCAGTCAGAACTGAAGAAGCTTCTGGAATGAGAAGCAAAACATCTTCAAGGGATAACAAAGATCAGTTGTCTTTTGAAAAAGCCTCTTTGGGAGAAAATACAGAATATGAAGGGTTTAGCCCTCTGAATTGCATAAGAGAAAGGTATCATTAGAATCTGGCAGGGAAAGTGAGGGCTAAAAAAGTCATTTACATATGATGATACAATGATACAATGATCAGTTGTAGGAGAGAAAGATAGGGACTCTAGAGAAAGCTCGATATTGGAGGTTTCCCACAGAAAGCAAAGATGAAGAAAAAATATATACCGTATTTTTCGCACCTTAGTTTTGGGGGAGGAAAATAATAAGAAAAAAAATCTGCCTCTGGCTACCAGCATCCATCAGTATTCATCTAGATACTGTACTGTTGGTGTGTGAGAGAGTTGAGGGCTGTTCGGAAACTGAAAAAGTGTTTGCTGTGTGAGCAACAAGGAAGGAGCCTCGGCGGGTCTTAGGATAATTGTTCTAAAGCTCTGAAACTAAAACTAAAACTGAAACTCCTCTCCTCTGCTTGTGTTTTCCTTTGCTGCTCCTTGCCTCACATTTTTAACTACATTTGGTGTATAAGATGCACTCAATTTTTTATATATAGCATTATATATAATAGAATTTTTATACATGCCCTAAGGAGAAACACTTTTTGCAATGGAACTACTTTCCTTTGGAAAAAAGAATGAACCAATGAGTCTGTTTTGGAATCTACAATGGAGATTGATAGAGAAAGAGAATGACCTTTCACTTGCCCCTTGCAAGTAGAGTAATTAAAGTTCATGCCATTACTTCTTGACTGATTTTGCTCAATGTGCTCCTGAGCTTCTAGAAGCCACTTGATTTCAGTAAATCCTTCTAAATCATATATTACCCTGACTAATCTTTCTGTTTATGTTTAGATGGTGCCTTATTCAAGATGTACAGAAAGTTGCTCCCCAGGTTATGCCAAGCTTGTGAGAGAGGGAGCCCCAGTTTGCTGCTATGATTGTTCTCTGTGCATGGAAGGAACATTCTCTGGGCAAGAAGGTACAGTAGGTGGCTCTAAAAAAAAAATCAAGATACAATAAATATACTATGTTGTTTTTTGGGGGAGTGTTTGATAAATAAGTAAGAAAAACATTACATTTCTTAAAGGCATCCACAAACTTTTTAAATGCATTGTAAGCCGCCTTGAGTCTTTGAAGAAAGGCGGCATACAAGTTGAACAAATAATAATAATAATAAAATAATAATAACTTCAAATATTGGGCACTATTGCCAAATTTGGATGATGATTTGAGCATTAAAATAAATAATGAAAGGTTGCTGATTTCTACTGAGTTGTTACTTTCTTGCTTTGTTTTAGGAAAGAAGTTTTGAGAACTGATAATCACATTCATCTTCAGCCTTTAAAAAGAGTGTTAACTAATGTAGTATCGTATGGATATCCCTGGGGAGAAATATTATATTATTCCTTGAAAATGAAGTAATTGATTTCTGATGCGGTTTTCATGCTCCTACAGCTACAGAAAAAGATTCATGCTAACCATTTTTTTTCTTAGATGCAGCCCACTGTGAAAAGTGTCCAGATGACCAGTATTCCAATAAGAAGCGAGATCAGTGTGTCCCAAAAAATATAAGCTTCTTATCCTATCAAGAATTGTTGGGACTCATCCTGGCTCTCTTTGCCATTGCTTTGTCCCTAACCACCGCCTTTATTCTGGGAATCTTCATGAAATACCGAGACACTCCCATAGTCAAAGCCAACAACTGTGAACTCACCTACATCCTCCTGGTTTCACTCCTGCTTTCTTTCTTGACCTCCCTTCTATTCATCGGTCGCCCCGTGAAAATGACCTGTCTCCTTCGACAAACCATTTTCAGTATTGTTTTCTCAGTTGCTGTGTCTTCCTTGCTGGCCAAGACTGTCATGGTGGTGGTGGCCTTTCTGGCCACAAAGCCAGGCAGCAGCATGAGGAAATGGCTGGGGAAGAGTCTGGCCAACTCTATTGTTTTATCCTGCTCTGGTATTCAAGTAGGCCTCTGTATGATGTGGCTGGGAGTCTTTCCCCCATTCCCAGATTCTGACTTTCATTCCCAACCAGAACACATCCTGCTGCAGTGCAATGAAGGCTCTGTCACCATGTTCTACTCTGCTCTTGGCTACATGGGTTTTTTGGCTGCCATCTGTTTCTTGGTGGCATTTCTGGCTCGAAATCTGCCAGGGGCTTTTAATGAAGCCAAACTGATCACCTTCAGCATGTTGGTATTTTGTAGCGTTTGGATCTCCTTTGTTCCCACTTATCTGAGCACCAAGGGGAAATACATGGTAGCTGTGCAGATCTTCTCCATCCTGGCCTCTGGCCTGGGTTTACTGGGCTGCATCTTTATCCCCAAATGCTACATTATTATCCTGAGACCTGACATGAACACCAAAGAACATCTCATGATAAAAAATCATTAAGGTTCCTTGTGTTGGTGTTTATTTTTGTACAGTTTACATGCAGCATAAAATCACATACTTTGAAGTAATGTTTTGTTTTGTTGTCACTTATCTTTCTTCATTCCGTGTGAATTTTGAATTATAATAATTGAGTATTAAAGTTGCTAAAACAACTCAAACTATTTGAAATAATCATATCCTTCAAAAGTCCGAATCTGAATTCATATTATGACATTAATAAAATTTCTGAAACCAAGGCATATAAACTGTCACTAGAGATGTTCTGATATGGTTTTAGATTAAATTAAAGACTATGGTTAATGATGATGTGTGTTTTTGTTACTATATAGGTTGGTGTGCTGGTGTTATATTTTATTTTCTGGGGTGATGTTCTGACTTTGTTTTAAAAAATAGTTAAGTTCAATATATTTGATTGATCTTTTCTCGCTCAATAATGTAAGATCATTCATTGTTAGATAAATGAGATAGATAGAGGGGGGGAGAGATCAAATAAAGGAAAAATAGAGAGACAGATAACATTCTATATATTAAGAATAGATAAAATATCAACATGAACATTGGAGCAATTTTAATTTTTTTCTCCATCCCTTTGAATAAATTAATGAGACAAATTATTATACAGCTCTGAATGATTTGGGGGGAAAACCATGTAGACACCTCATGTGACAATGAAGATGTGCTTAGGAGTATTAAAATTGGTTCTTATCCATATCCATATCCATTTCCATTTCCATATACTGTAAATACACTGTCTGTGTATCTCTGTGTGTGTCCTTTTGAAAAGCATGTAAATGCAAGTAGATAAATAGGTACCACTTCAGTGGAAAAGTAACAATGTTCCATGCATCTTCAGTGCATAGTCATGCCAGCCACATGACCATGGAAGCATCTTCAAATAAAGGCTCTTCATTTTGTGAATCAAAGATGAGCACTGCCCCTTGGGTTGGTCATGACTGACAGGGGAAATCTTTACCTATACCCACCTAAAACTTTACCTATAAATATATAAATTTGTTTTTGTTCTTGTGTCCTTTCTTGGTCTTTGTCTTTTTGTCAGTCAGCTCTTCAGTGTATTACAGATTAGGAAAGCTATATCATATAAGTCAGTATTACTTTTATCTGATGTTGTCTTGGTAATGGTCTCTCAATGCCATTACCTCTGCCTTCTACACTATCTCTCTTTGGATGTTGAGAAAGCATTGGAAAAGCAAAGCAATTGCAATGTATTTTTATTCACATACTGATCTGTTTCACTCACTAGAATGTAAATGCAATTCTAGATTGTCCTAATTTTGATTTCTGTCATTGTAGTGCTGAATCTATCCTAGCCACTTCAAGGTTATCTGCAAAAATGAGAAACATTTCCTCCATCCAATTGTTTACCAAATCAAAGTGTCCAGAACCCAGCACTCAACAAAATGAACTCAACAAGAATAAAATGGTATACGTAACTCCAAGGTCCCTTCCAACTCTGTTATTCTATTCTATTCTATTCTATTCTATTCTATTCTATTCTATTCTATTCTATTCTATTCTATTCTATTCTATTCTATTCTATTCTATTCCATTCCATTCCATTCCATTCCATTCCATTCTACCCTGTCCAAGCAGTTTACATAGTCAGCATATTGCCCCCAACAATCCGGGTCCCCATTTTACTGACCTAGGAAGGATGGAAGGCTGAGTCAACCTTGACCCTGGTGAGATTCGATCTGCCAAACTGCTGGCAGCCGGTAATCAGCAGAAGTAGCTTGCAGTACTGCACTTAACCACTGCATCACTGTGGCTCATCATCAACAACAATAGGTTTTTCAATATGTCATGATCTGGAGTTAATCATTCTGGAGTATCAAACCTTCACTGAAGAAGATGGCCTCATCCACACCAGACAAAATAAGAAGGAATTATAATGGCCCACTGCCTACTTCAAGAGTGTTGAACTGTTTTTCCACATTTTAATCTTTACAATCTCAAGAATCAGTTTGGAAACTAAAAAACAATCAAACTTCCCTGAATTGTTCCTTTCTCAACTCTCAAATTAGGATTATTCTCCTGAGTCAAAGAAAACTCTTTTCTCCAACGGCACACTTTTATAGCCAAGGCTCATTCCCAATTCCCCTTCTAATTATTAAAATCATGATTATTTATTCTCCTTTGAACAAGGTTTATGGGATTTCCATCACCACAATTAGTGGCCAATCTATGTGACAACAAATGGGATAGACAGCATGTGATAATCTGATTTGTAATAGCCTCCTGTGATGAGATCAGAGTTTGGGGTAAAGCTGGACAAGTACAGTAGCAGTCTGAAATTGCAGATAGCTCTTCCAAATCTGGGGGCAAACTGGACCTTCTTCTCTGTAGTTGTAGTCTTTTTGTCATCTCTGAGATTTAGCTCTGTGCTGAAGAAAGAACTCTAGGAAGGATCTCCTGCAGTATACTGTATGTCAAATGTTGCTGCTGCTGCATATACAGCTTTTTCTGCTTCAGTTTCTGTCTCAAATTCCCTGTGCCAGTACACTGATGAAATGTCCATTTAAGGTGATCATAGAAGAAAAGGAGTGGTTCCATTACTACAAGCCAGGAGACTACTGGATTACGGGAATAATGTCTAGACTCATATCTCGATTGTACTCATTTTCATTCTCCGAGCCTCCAACCCACCAACTGAAAAGGTAATTGTCAGCTCGTCCAAGCATTCTGGTGATTGATTTTACCTGCTCCAATTTCTTTTCCTTATATATATATATATAAATATATATTAAATTTTCTTTTAATATAAACATTCCCACTTTCAGTAAACAGTGTGTCATCAGAGTACATATTTTTGTGTCATGACAATTAAAATTTACCACCATATTCATTATTTGTATCTATTCTTATATTACTACTAATATGTAACATACCTACTCTTATAACATTTTTCTTCTTAATTTATTTGTCTTTATAATACATTGCTTTCATATTTATTCTCCAACCATTGATAGAATAATTCCCATATATTATAATAATCAGATTCTTCCTTTCCTTTGATTGCAAGTGTTAATCTATTCATTTCTGCACATTCTAATATTTTCTTAATCATACTTTCATCCTTAGGGATCTCTTCACTTTTCCAATTTTGTGCAAATACAATTCTAGCTGCAGGTATTACATGAATAATCAAGTATACATTTTCTTTACTATAAGCTTTTGGTATTATCCACAACTGGAATACTCCAGGTTTTAAATCGATATTTTGCTGCGTCATCTTCTCCAACCACATACCTCCAATGTCTTTTCTAGGAATGATTTCCTTTCCCCTATTCCTCACCTAGAGAAAGTCAAGTCATTATTGCTCATCCCAATTTGCTTTAGAGGAAAGGCTCCTGGGGAACCTGATGATTTTGTAAATCACTTGCAAAGTTTCTTCCACAAATGTCAGCCTCAACACTGGGCAATACTGGGCACTGCCAACACTCTCCCATGATGAATCTTGCCTGGATGGGGTTCTGCCTGCTTTCAAAATGACCACCTTGGGACTGTGGAGAGTCAGCAACTTATTTATTCATATCTATTTTATTTATTTATTAACAATAGTAAAATAGGAACTCCCAATAAAGTGATTGAATGATACCTTAGAACAGAGTGAGATCTCTTGTATTTTCTCCCCACTGTTTCTTCCCCTTCCTTACATTTACTCTATAATTCCTACCACCCTCTCTGCTCTTTCTTTCCACCCTTTAACACTTTTGCCCCTTTTGTGGCTTCCCTGTTCCTTTTGGTTTAAATAAAAGGGATACTTTTTAAAAATCAAATTCAAGGAGGGGAGAGACTTTATGTGACAAGTTAATGTTTAGTCGCAGAGGGATCCTATTAACTGTTGTTAACTGTAGAATATAGGACAATAACTCTAAAGCCATGAATGTTGTTGTTGTTAGTTACAAAGTTGTGTCCAGCCCATTGCGACCCCATGGACAATGTTCCTCCAGACCTTCCTGTCCTCCACCATCCCTCAGAGTCCATTTAAGCTCACGCCTATCACTACAGTGACTCCATCCAGCCACCTCATTCTCTGCCGTCCCCTTCTTCTTTTGTCCTCAATTGTTCCCAGCATTAGGTTCTTCTCCAGTGAGTCTTTCCTTCCCATTAGGTGGCCAAAGTATTTGAGTTTCATCTTCAGGATTTGGCCTTCTAAAGAGCAGTCAGGGTTGATCTCCTCTAGGACTGACCAGTTTGATTGCCTTGCAAGGGACTCGCAGGAGTCTTCTCCAGCACCATAGCTCAAAGGCCTCAATTCTTTGGTGCTCAGTCTTTCTTATGGAAGCCATGCATATTTTGCAGCAAATCTCTAGGTCTAAAGAAGGCTTGCTAAAGAGATATCCATCTTCAGATAGGTAATACCACTTGCTAATCTAGCACTTGAATCCAACTGTTAGTCCTCTCCAGGGTGATATAACAGGAAGAAATCATATCATATAATCACAACCTATACATCTACATTTGGTAGCATCCCTTATTAGCATTCTTGAGGATTGGAAAGAAAATTATCTTATATAGTTTTTCTGTGTAATTTTGCCACCTCTTCTTAATCTCTTCTGCCTCTGTTAGGTCCCTGCCATTTTGGTCCTTTATTATGCCCATCTTTGCATGAAATGTTTCCTTCATATCTCCAATTTTCTTGAAGAGATCTCTGGTCCTCCCGATTCTTTTGTTTTCATCTATTTCTTTGCACTGTTCAGTTAAGAAGGTATTCTTATCTCTTCTAGCTATTCTCTGGAATACTGCATTCAATTGGGTGTACCTTTCTCTTTCTCCCTTGCCTTTCACTTTCCTTCTTTCCTCAGCTATTTGCAAAGTTTCCTCTGACAGCCATTTTGCTTTCTTGCATTACTTTTTCTTTCGGATGGTTTTAGTTGCTATCTCTTGTACAATGTTGCAAACCTCTGTCCATAGTTCTTCAGGTACTCTGTCTATCAGATCTAATTCTTTAAATCTATTTGTTACCTCTACTGTATATTCATCAAGGATATGATTTAATTCACACCTGAGTGGTATGATTTTAATTACATTTTATGGATTGTTGTAAATTGCTATGAATGATATATTAGCTTTGTAAATAGGTAAGTGAATAAAATAAATGCTTTGGTTTTGCAAAAAGTTTATTCTAAGCAGATTTAAACAGTTACAATAGTAAGAAACCTTCACACTTTCGTACCTTCACGTATTTTTCCTCATTTTTTCCTCCCAAGTCATAATGTGAAGAAAACTATGGGCAGAATCAGTTCTGATGATTTTGATAGGATTCCTTTGATCTTGACATAAGAAATTCAAATAAATTGAATAATTGAATTGAAATGTCAACTCACAAAGCATCCCTCGTCTGCTCTCGAGTTACCATAGGCAAGGGGGATGGGAAACTGACAAAACAGCATGGCAGCCAAAGACAGATACACATTCCAGACTTATCTCTCTCTTGGCTGTATCCCAGGATTATCACAGTGGCCAGAGAGGAGTGATCTCTACAATCTGCGAAATTGCTCCGTTGGTGAATGTAATTGATAACACACCTTGGGGGAAGGGAGGAAACAGGGTCATGATTGGGGCTTAAATTATGTGGGGTCAGAGTTGGCTTCACTTGGGAATGTGCTGACATGAAGCTCCTAATAAATAACTGGATTTCTTTTGAAGCTTGTCTCAAGGCTCACAATTTAATTAGGGCATCCGTTGGAACCTTGACATGAATAATGAGAAGTTGATTATCTTTTTGGCATTGCACTATATAGATATAAAGCTACGAGTTTTCCGCTGTGCTCTTAAGACCCTGCTCTTCCAACAGGCAGGGCTAGCTTCATAATTGAGTTTTAAATTCGGAATTCTTAAATTTTGGGGTTTTTTTAGCTAATTGGCCTTGAATGTAATACTTTTAATAACTTTTAAATTTAAATTATGATATTTGTATTGTGTTTTTACCTGGCTGTACACCGCCCCAAGTCCTTCGGAGAGGGGCGGTAGAAATAAAATTATCCTATCCTATCCTATCCTATCCTATCCTATCCTATCCTATCCTATCCTATCCTATCCTATCCTATCCTATCCTATCCTATCCTATCCTATCCTATCCTATCCTATCCTAGTAAATATGAGAAACTTTCATGAAAATCCAAACTGAAGATTTATTTATTTCTTTATTGGAATTTGTCAAAGAAAAATGAGAACAAGAATAAGAGAATACAATAACAGGAATGATAGCAGTGGTGAAATTCAATTTTTTTTTACTACCAGTCTGTGGGTGTGGCTTGGTGGGCGTGATGTGGCTTGGTGGGAATGGCTTTGTGGGCGTGGCAGGGGAAGGATACTGCAAAATCTCCATTTACCCCCCCCCCCCACTCAACGGGAATGATACTCCCCATTTCCACTTCACACTGGGGCCAGCCAGAGGTGGTATTTGCCAGTTCTCTGAACTACTCAAAATTTCCACTACCAGTTCTCCAGAACCTGTCAGAACCTGCTGAATTTTACCCCTGGACGATAGGCACATTAGTGCACTTACGCACGCTTCCTCTACTGACCACTTAAGTATGAAGTAAGACCCACAATTTCTGACTGAAACTGTGAAAATTTGTAGGGCATTCCAGACTTTGACAGCTCTATTAGATAAATTTTTAGCAATGCTGTTACAGTGAGCTTTGGAGCATAAATCATCAGAGATAAGTGCACCTAGGTCCTTAACAAGGTGAAGATCATCTGCTAGATCAATGCCACCTATCTTATATTTGGCATTCTGATGTAATATGTAAGACAGAGCATTTATGAATTGAAATTTGAAGTTGCCAAATAGATGACCATTCAGACACGTAGTCGAGATCACTTTGCAAAAAAAACAGAATTATCTGTAGAATTGAATAATTTTACTTCATCGGCAAAAAGAACACAATTTCTTTTAAGTTGATCACATAAATCGTTGATGTAGAGCAAAAAAAAAGATAATGAAATTTCTTACGTTGCAGTGACAACACCTTCCACAACATTTTTCCCTTCTTGTTGGCTGTTCATGAAGTCAACCAGAATTCAAGGCTCTCACCCAACATTTCCCTGGGCTACAACATCTATGAGAACTTTTTCAGTGCAAGAATGACATATGAGGCTATGCTGGATGTGCTGTCTACAGGACAGGAGAACATCCCAAACTACAGATGTGGTAAACAAAAGAACCTGCTGGCGATTCTTGAAGAGATGGATTCTGAACTCTTTGATCATATTTCCAATGTCTTGAGCATCTATAAAATTCCACAGGTATAAAGCCAAATGAAATTAATTCTGTGTTGTAAAATGTTCAGATTTGCCTAGAACAGAGCACTTGTATATATTTCTCCAAATAAATTGAAAGTCAGAGAGTAAATATTAGAAGAGCTGAAAGAATTTTTATTTCACAAAGTATGTGTGTATACATAAAGTGATGGGCTGTTGCTGGTTCGGCCTGGTTCTAGCAAACTGGTAGTTCCTGCGGTCAGTTGTCCCTGTCCACCCACCTCCACGCTATCCTGTCCTATATTTCTGTGTTTCTCAGCTCAGCTGATTTGCATGGCATGGTGGATTTCCATGCCTCAGCTGTTTTACTTACCTCAGCTGCCCTAGAAGGTTAAAATTGGTGTATTTTGAATTCTACACACAAAGCACGTGCTCACAGAAACACACACACACATACATGTGGTTGGACTAGAAGACTTTTCAGCTCTATTCTGATTGACTAATTGACTGAGTGGATGGGTGACCCACAGAGTTATAATGTGACCAGAAGGGTGTGCTCTATGAGGACCACCAATGAACATCACCCACAGATAATTCAGAGCTCCCTGGTTTCAAAGGGAGCATACAAGACAACACGACAGAACATCAAGGGAATTAGCAAAATTCATGCAGTTATTGTTTGAAGTGTCTCTCAGCAGTGTGGAAAGGCCCTTAGATTTACCATCTGACTTTTATCTTTAAAACTGACACAAACTACTGTTGGAAAAAATATCCTTCTGGGTTCAGTTCCGGGGGGGGGGGGGGACACTGGATTCATTGAAGTTGCTTGGAAAGACGGTTCTAATGGTGGACAGGATCAGATGGGTTAAGAAAAAAGGGAAGAGATGCTGAGATTGCCTGAGTTTTGTCCTCTCTGGGCTTTTATTTTATTTATTTATTTGATTTGATTTGATTTCTATACCACCCTTCTCCAACAGGACTCAGGGCGGTGAACAGCCGAGATAAAACATAACATATAAAATTTAAAAAAACAGTTTAAAAGACATTAAATAATTTCGGCCCTCAATTTAAAACAACCCAATTAAACCAATTTTAAATTAAAACCAAAAGGATGGGATCAAGCCAGCCCTGCTAGATGGAATAGATGAGTTTTCAGGGCCCGATGAAAAGTCCGGAGGTCTGGTATCATGCGTATTTCTGGGGGTAGGTCGTTCCAGAGGGCAGGTGCTGCCACAGAGAAGGCTCTCCCCCTGGGGGTCGCCAGCCGACATTGTCTGGCCGACGGCACCCTGAGGAGGCCCTCTCTGTGCAAGCGAACTGGCCGGTGGGAGGCTCTTGGCGGCAGAAGGCGGTCTCGTAGATACCCTGGCCCTAAGCCATGGAGCGCTTTAAAGGTGGTCACCAACACCTTGAAGCGCACCCAGAAGACCACCGGAAGCCAGTGCAGCTCGCGCAGGAGAGGTGTCACATGGGAGCACCCCGTCACTCCCATCATCCCCTGCACGGCCGCATTCTGGACCAACTGGAGCCTCCGGGTGCACCCCAAGGGGAGCCCCATGTAGAGAGCATTGCAGTAGTCCAGGCAGGAAGTGACAAGTGCCTGAGTGACCATGTGTAGGGAGTTCCAATCTAGAAAGGGACACAACTGACGTATCAGGCGGACCTGATAAAAAGCCCCCTTGGCCACGGCTGTCATATGCTCTTCTAAAGACAGCCGTGCATCCAGGAGGATGCCCATGTTGCGAACCCTCTCCATGGGGGCCAGTGATTCACCCCCAATAACCAGCGATGGCACCAGCTGGCTATATCAGGATGCCGGAAGCCACAGCCACTCGGTCTTGGAAGGCTTGAGTCGGAGCCTGTTTCTCCCCATCCAGGCCCGCACAGCCTCCAGGCACTGGGACATCACTTCAAGGGCATTGTTGGGGTGGCCTGGGGTGGAGATGTACAGCTGTGTGTCATCAGCGTACTGATGGAGCTCCACCCCAAAGCCACGGATGATCTCACCCAGCGGCTTTACATAAATGTTGAACAGAAGGGGCGAGAGAACCGACCCTTGTGGCACCCCACAAACAAGGTGCCTCGGGGTCGACCGCTGCCCCCCTGCCAACACAGATTGTGACCGGTCAGAGAGGTAGGAGGAGAACCACTGCAAAATGGTGCCCCCCACCCCAACCCCTCCAACCGGTGCAACATGATACCATGGTCGATGGTATCAAAAGCTGCTGAGAGATCTAACAGGACCAGGATAGAGGAACAACCCCTATCCCGAGCCCTCCAGAGATCATCCACCAACACGACCAATGCCGTTTCCATGCTGTGCCCAGGTCTGAAGCTGGACTGGCATGGATCTAGATAGACAGCTTCATCCAGGTACTGTGGAAGCTGCCGTGCCACCACACTCTCAACAACCTTCAAAATAAAACTGGACGATAGTTAGCCAAAACAGCCGGATCCAGAGAGGGCTTCTTGAGGAGGGGCCTCACCACTGCTTCTTTCAAGGCGTCCGGTAGAATACCCTCACTCACTCAATCGACTGACAACCAATCGTATTCTGATTGGTTGTCAGACTCCCATAGGGCCATGCAGGGGCAACTTTGTAGGTTGTGTTTTGAGACCAAGTTTGGTTGAACCTTGCTGGATGGTGATGTAATGAAAGGGCTTCAAGATTTCTATTATGGATCTGCCTGAAGGAGGTAAATCTTTGTTACATAGAATAGATTGGCTTGGGTTTTAATGGCCCACTGAGAAAGGGGGGGGCTGAGTTTCCGTTTCCCTTTCAGGGGAAATATTCTGCCCTTTTAATATTTCCTAAAATATCTAAATGGGACATGGTGGCTCAGTGGCTAAGATGCAGTTCAGCAGATCAAATCCCTAGTGCCATGTAATGGGGTGAGCTCTTGTTACTTGTACCAGCTCCTCCCAAACTAGCAGTCCAAAAGCACATAAAAATGCAAGTAGAAAAATAGGGACCAACTTTGGTGGGAAGGCAACAGCATTCTGTGAGCCTTTGGCATTTAGTCATGTTGGCCACATGACCATGGAGACATCTTCGGACAGTGCTGAGTCTTCGGCTTTGATCACAGGAGTCAGGAAGGACTAGCAGATATGTGCGTGGGGAACCCATACCATTACCTAAAATATCTCATTTTCCTAGGAGGGGGTGGGTTCTAACATACTACACTACCAATACCTTCTCTTTTGCCTTAGATCAACTACAGTGTCATCAACCAGATGGCTGAGCAAAATCATCGTTTTCCTTTTTCATATCGAATGACCCCAAACCAAGAACCTCCTGACTCAGCAATTATCCAGCTGCTCCTGCAGTTCCAATGGACATGGATCGGCCTCCTTTCTCAGGACAATGAAAAAGGAGAAAAATTCAAAAGAAGCTTGGAAGTTCTCGCTCTAAAAAATGGGATTTGCATTGTCCTCTCAGGAACCGTCCCAGAAGCAAATGTGCAGACAAGTGCTGGAAAAACTCTCACGCAAGAAAAAAGGGAAAAGTTCTTTTCTCTTATCAAGAGTCAAATAAAAATTATAGTATGCCAACTGGATTTTCAGGCCTCAGGAATGTTAGCAGTAATAATACAAACGATGGATACATCCATTGTGGGAAGGGTGTGGATTGCAACAACTTTGACAGCTTTAGGTGTAGATATTTTTGATACCTTGCTTGATCTCCAAAATAAATATGCTTTGTTTTCCTTCCTCATCCAGACAAAGAGAAGGACTCAGTATTATGACTTTAATTCTCATGCATCCATGGTCATATCATATAGAAAGGAAGCGTTCCAATGTTCTTATTCAAGTCCTGTGTTATCTAAGAAAGTTTGGAAAAAATGCAGAGAAAAAGAGAATTGGGAATTCCCACCCCATGATGTGATTGCAAGACTCCTGTCTCAGGATTCCTCCAGTATTTCTCAAATAATTCAAATTGTGGCCTGGGTCCTCAGTGCTGCCTCCTCCTCCCAACAGAGTAAGAGGAGAATGCAAGTTGGAGACCATCAACCACCCCAGATTGTACAGCCATGGCAGGTAAGTCTTCTCCTTTGAGGTTCCACTGATTCTTCCCTTCCAATTTCTCAATATTAAATTAGATGTCGAAAGGGGTCAGATATTCCAAAGAACAGTTGCCCAGTTTGTGGTATTTGAGAGTGAGTGTCAACCCTGAAGCAGATCTGACGGAGGCCATTTTGGAGGATTCAGTGTTGCCACATTGGAGCTGAGGGATAGGGAGGGGGAAATAGAGATAGCTGGGGTTTTGTAGCCAAAACAAAATATTTTCTCTTGGGAACCAAGGATATTCCCACCGATGGCCGGAGGGAGGATGAGTGAAGTCACCAGGCAACCGGATGACACCTTGATTGGACCATGGGACTGATTGTTTGGAAAGGGGAGGAAAATTTTTAGTTTTAATTAGGTGAAAACTGTGGGATCATTAAAAGTCAGCTTTCACCAGCCTATGCCTATATGAAATGTCCAATATAACTGATATTTGAGGAAACTGCTTGCCTCAGAGTCCTGTTTGCTATGGGTGTATTACTTGGAAACCTGACATTAAACAGTCTCTAATTTTTTTTCTTTTTTTCAAGTTTTTAATTTTTTAATTTTTTAGAAACATATCAATGCGTGAACAGTGTGGAACCTGAGTGACTTGCATTTTGGTACAAATCAAATAATATTCATCATATTTACTACAGTTGACAAGCTTATATAGTTCTGATAATAGTACACATATAGTACACTACAAATAAAATATTAATAATCTTATTTGTTACATTTAACAGGCTTATATGGTTCTAATAGTAATCCACATATTTAGGTTAAATTATAATCTTCCATTATTTAATTATTCAATATTTCAATATGTTATTTTTATGCCAATCACCATATTATTCAAACATTCTTAATACTACCATCGTTCACATTCTGATTTCCCCTCTTATTATGATTTCCCCTTATTATATAAAGATGTGTATTCCATTAATCCCCTTCTCTGTAGTTTCTGTCCCCTTTCTAACTTTTAATTTTCCCACTATTATATTGAAAAATATTCCCTTTTTATCCATATTTTAGTGAACATTTAGCGTCAGTTTTCACCAGCCTAGGCCTATCTGGTATGTCCAATAAAACTCATATTTGAGGAACCTGCTTGCCTCAGAGTCCTGGTTGCTATGGGCATATTACTTGGAGCCCTGACGGTGAGTTAGAGAGAGATGATAGAGAAAAACCTTCCAAAATTAAACAACCTGTGCTAGTTTGGGATGCTTTTGTGACAGAAATAGCTCTATGGTAACAACGTAATTTTAAAAACTAAACAAGCATCAAAATATTCAAGCAATCCTCAACCTCTTATTTTGATCACAAAGTGATCTCCAAGCTAAGGAGTTCAGCTGGATTGTTTGTTCTGGATTAAGATTGAATTTTTCTGGCTAAAAGTTTCTAACATAGCAACATAAACTCTGCTAACTTCATCTTGATCAGGACTGATGGCAAAATTGGATTCTCCGTCTTCTCCCATTAGAAGTTTTTCCATATCTACAATTGATTTTGCCTCAGATGGGCTGTGATAGTGAAGCAAGAAAATATAGAACATAAAACAATATAATAAGCATTTGAAAGGACGTCAGCGGTTTTTCTAGTCCAACCCATTAATCAAGCAGGAGATCCTATACGATTTCAGACAAATGGTTGCCCACGTCTCTTTTTGAAAGCCTCCAATGATGGAGCACTCACAACTTCTGAAGGCAAGCTATTCCATTGGTTGATTGCTCTCGTGTTAGGAAATTTCTCTTTAGTTCTAGGTTGCTTCTCTTATTCGTTAGTTTTCAACCATTGTTTCTTGCCTTGCATACTGGTGCTTTGGGAAATGTTTTGACGCCCCCCCATCTTTGTAGGAGCCCCTCAAATGTTAGAAAAGTGGTATCATTTCTCCCCAATCTTTCATTTCCTTAGACTAGACAAGGGGTGGGTTCTATTTACCTTTACTACTGGTTCGCAGTGGGGCCGCGTGGATGTGCTTTATTCGCTTATGGGCATGCTCTTCTACACATGCACAGAAGCTTCTAAGCATGCACAGAAGCGTTTTGATGATGTCGGGGTCGGTGGGCAGGGCCTCCTGCCAGTTTTACTACCGGTTCTATAGAAATGGTGCAAACCGGGGGAAACACATCATTGGACTAGACATACCAAATTACAGTAACTGTCCTTTTTAAGTTTTAGCCTCCAGCCCCCTAATCATTTTTGTTGCTCATCTCTACAGTCTTTCCAGAGTTTCAATATCTTTTGTATATTGTGTTGATCAGAACTGGATGTAGTATTCTAAATGTGGTCTTACTAAGGTTTTGTAAAGCCATATTAGAACTTCATGTGATCTTGATTCTATCCCTTTATTAACGCAGCCTAGGATTGCATTGGCATTTTTATCTGCTGCCACACATTGTTGGCTCATATTTAAGTGATTGTCCACTAGGACTCCAAGATCCTTCTCACAGTTACTGGCATTAAGCCAAGATTCACATAGTCTGTACCTATACTTTGGTTTTCCTTGCCTAAATGTAAAACCTTACTTTTATCTATGTTGAATTTCACTTTGTTAGGTAGGGGCCCATGTTCAATTTGTCAAGATCTTTTTGGATCTTGAGCTTGTCTTCTGGGGGTGTTGGCTATTGCTGCCAGCTTAGTGTCGTCTTCAAATTTGATAAGTTCCTCTTCAATTCCCTTGTCTAGATCTTTTTTGAAGATGTTGAATAGTGCTGGGCCTAAAATGGAAGCTTGGGGTACCCCATTGCTTATGTTCCTCCATGTGGATGAGGTTCCCCAGAGGACTACATGTTGAATATAATTTGTCAGCCAGTTACAAAGCCACCTGATGGTGGTGTTATCTATAGCATGTTTTCAAGAATGCGAGATAAATACCATATTTTTGGGAATATAAAATACACCTGACTATAAGACGAACCTGTTGTGGCTCCGTTACTGGAGCCTGTGTCACTGTCAGGAGAGGACTCCGAGAGTGAAGGGGAGGAGTTGGCAAGGCCTCCCTCTCCAGGAACCTCCTCTCTGGCAATGCCTTCGGTGTCCGCCGAAGGGCAAGAGATAGGGCCAGGGCCAAGCACATCCAAGCAGCCACAGATGGACAGGGATGAGGGTAAAGAGTCTTGGCTGGACCCACGCCAGCGTTGCAGAGATAAGTGCACGCAACAGAAGAAAGGGTATGCCTGAGATTAGGCTGAGTCACTGGACCACACACCACAGGATATAAAAGGGAACGTGGTGGCCTGTCAAACCTTGTGACGAACAAAGCTGAAAGCTTCCACGTCATTCTGCATTGCCGGACTTTTGCTTTAAGACTTTGCTGGACTATCTCTGGACTTGATTAATTCCGTAATTATTGAGCTGCTCTCCTTTGATGTATCAGAAGTGGGGAGAAGTTATCTCTCCTCTTTGTAAATAATAAACTCTTGGCAGGCAGCCACTAGGTTGTTGCCAAGTTCCGTTATCATAAGGAAAAGGATTTTGCCGGCTGGTTTGGTCTTTAACTCCTAAATGTCTGTTGGTGTGTATGCCTGGGGTTGGGGACAGAACAGAACCTAAATTTAGAAGAGGAAAACAAAAAAAATGTTTTTGGCCTCTGCGCTCTCCTATCTTGGCCCTTTTTTTGGCCCCTTTTGGGCCATTTCCAGACTTTTTCCAGCACATTTTTGAGGCTTTTTTAAAGACAAAAAAAGCCTCTAAAACAGGCCAAAGAAAAGCCTCAAAAACAGCCAGAAAAAAGCTCCAAAATTGGGCCAAAAAAGGCCTGAAAAGGGCCAAACAAAGGCTGAAAATGGAGTGTGCAGAGACCAAAAAACTACCAGCGGGTGGGCGAGGCTTCAGCAATATTTGGTCAATAGGATACACAGACATTTTCATCCCCTTTTGGAAGACAAAAATATGCATCTTATAGTCCGAATAATACAGTATTTGAAAAAGAGCTGTAAATTCCTGAGTATGACTGAAAGAAGCTTCCCATGAAATTTTGAATCAATCTGTTTCAGATTGCAGTGATGATTTGAAGAGGTTGAAATATTCAGAGTACCTCCAATCCAGAATAATAGCAAGAAAAAGAAATTGAGTAAAGGCTCAAACTGTAATGGTTTTTTTTCTATGTTTCTGCAGCTTCATAGGTTCCTGAGAAATTTCCAACATCACAATATTTCCAGAGATGGGATTTCTTTTGATGAAAATGGAGTTCCTGTTGGTGACTTTGATATCATGCAGTGGACATCCGTTTTGAACAAATCAGTTGCGGGGATGAAAATTGGGAATGTAGAAAAACAAGCCTCCTCGGAAGTCAAGATTTCTGTCAATCAAAGTGCCGTCCAATGGCCAACTTTATTTAACAAAGTAGTTGAGGCTGCTTGGATTTTGCTCTTCTATTTATCTCCATCTGCTCAGAAATAATTCTTATTGAGGCCAATTGAGATAACTTCCAAATAAGAGAACTTAAAGCCTCATTAATTTATATCATTTTACTTTAGAGGTTTTATAATAATCTATCACACGCTGGAACCTGCTGCATTGTATTGAGGGATTTGCAATCTACATTATTAAACTGGGATATGTTGCCATAATTTATAGTACATCAAATTATCTTGTTTTCAATAAGAGAAAATCCAGAATGTCTATGGCGATTCTCAGTCATCCAGGTCATGGTTGTATCAAAGGTTCTTTTTCAAAAGGCACCTGGACTTTGTTTTCCCTTGAAGATGTTTCACTTCTCATCCAAGAAGTGAATCCTTCCATACTTCACCATTCAGTCAGAACTGAAGAAGCTTCTGGAATGAGAAGCAAAACATCTTCAAGGGATAACAAAGATCAGTTGTCTTTTGAAAAAGCCTCTTTGGGAGAAAATACAGAATATGAAGGGTTTAGCCCTCTGAATTGCATAAGAGAAAGGTATCATTAGAATCTGGCAGGGAAAGTGAGGGCTAAAAAAGTCATTTACATATGATGATACAATGATACAATGATCAGTTGTAGGAGAGAAAGATAGGGACTCTAGAGAAAGCTCGATATTGGAGGTTTCCCACAGAAAGCAAAGATGAAGAAAAAATATATACCGTATTTTTCGCACCTTAGTTTTGGGGGAGGAAAATAATAAGAAAAAAAATCTGCCTCTGGCTACCAGCATCCATCAGTATTCATCTAGATACTGTACTGTTGGTGTGTGAGAGAGTTGAGGGCTGTTCGGAAACTGAAAAAGTGTTTGCTGTGTGAGCAACAAGGAAGGAGCCTCGGCGGGTCTTAGGATAATTGTTCTAAAGCTCTGAAACTAAAACTAAAACTGAAACTCCTCTCCTCTGCTTGTGTTTTCCTTTGCTGCTCCTTGCCTCACATTTTTAACTACATTTGGTGTATAAGATGCACTCAATTTTTTATATATAGCATTATATATAATAGAATTTTTATACATGCCCTAAGGAGAAACACTTTTTGCAATGGAACTACTTTCCTTTGGAAAAAAGAATGAACCAATGAGTCTGTTTTGGAATCTACAATGGAGATTGATAGAGAAAGAGAATGACCTTTCACTTGCCCCTTGCAAGTAGAGTAATTAAAGTTCATGCCATTACTTCTTGACTGATTTTGCTCAATGTGCTCCTGAGCTTCTAGAAGCCACTTGATTTCAGTAAATCCTTCTAAATCATATATTACCCTGACTAATCTTTCTGTTTATGTTTAGATGGTGCCTTATTCAAGATGTACAGAAAGTTGCTCCCCAGGTTATGCCAAGCTTGTGAGAGAGGGAGCCCCAGTTTGCTGCTATGATTGTTCTCTGTGCATGGAAGGAACATTCTCTGGGCAAGAAGGTACAGTAGGTGGCTCTAAAAAAAAAATCAAGATACAATAAATATACTATGTTGTTTTTTGGGGGAGTGTTTGATAAATAAGTAAGAAAAACATTACATTTCTTAAAGGCATCCACAAACTTTTTAAATGCATTGTAAGCCGCCTTGAGTCTTTGAAGAAAGGCGGCATACAAGTTGAACAAATAATAATAATAATAAAATAATAATAACTTCAAATATTGGGCACTATTGCCAAATTTGGATGATGATTTGAGCATTAAAATAAATAATGAAAGGTTGCTGATTTCTACTGAGTTGTTACTTTCTTGCTTTGTTTTAGGAAAGAAGTTTTGAGAACTGATAATCACATTCATCTTCAGCCTTTAAAAAGAGTGTTAACTAATGTAGTATCGTATGGATATCCCTGGGGAGAAATATTATATTATTCCTTGAAAATGAAGTAATTGATTTCTGATGCGGTTTTCATGCTCCTACAGCTACAGAAAAAGATTCATGCTAACCATTTTTTTTCTTAGATGCAGCCCACTGTGAAAAGTGTCCAGATGACCAGTATTCCAATAAGAAGCGAGATCAGTGTGTCCCAAAAAATATAAGCTTCTTATCCTATCAAGAATTGTTGGGACTCATCCTGGCTCTCTTTGCCATTGCTTTGTCCCTAACCACCGCCTTTATTCTGGGAATCTTCATGAAATACCGAGACACTCCCATAGTCAAAGCCAACAACTGTGAACTCACCTACATCCTCCTGGTTTCACTCCTGCTTTCTTTCTTGACCTCCCTTCTATTCATCGGTCGCCCCGTGAAAATGACCTGTCTCCTTCGACAAACCATTTTCAGTATTGTTTTCTCAGTTGCTGTGTCTTCCTTGCTGGCCAAGACTGTCATGGTGGTGGTGGCCTTTCTGGCCACAAAGCCAGGCAGCAGCATGAGGAAATGGCTGGGGAAGAGTCTGGCCAACTCTATTGTTTTATCCTGCTCTGGTATTCAAGTAGGCCTCTGTATGATGTGGCTGGGAGTCTTTCCCCCATTCCCAGATTCTGACTTTCATTCCCAACCAGAACACATCCTGCTGCAGTGCAATGAAGGCTCTGTCACCATGTTCTACTCTGCTCTTGGCTACATGGGTTTTTTGGCTGCCATCTGTTTCTTGGTGGCATTTCTGGCTCGAAATCTGCCAGGGGCTTTTAATGAAGCCAAACTGATCACCTTCAGCATGTTGGTATTTTGTAGCGTTTGGATCTCCTTTGTTCCCACTTATCTGAGCACCAAGGGGAAATACATGGTAGCTGTGCAGATCTTCTCCATCCTGGCCTCTGGCCTGGGTTTACTGGGCTGCATCTTTATCCCCAAATGCTACATTATTATCCTGAGACCTGACATGAACACCAAAGAACATCTCATGATAAAAAATCATTAAGGTTCCTTGTGTTGGTGTTTATTTTTGTACAGTTTACATGCAGCATAAAATCACATACTTTGAAGTAATGTTTTGTTTTGTTGTCACTTATCTTTCTTCATTCCGTGTGAATTTTGAATTATAATAATTGAGTATTAAAGTTGCTAAAACAACTCAAACTATTTGAAATAATCATATCCTTCAAAAGTCCGAATCTGAATTCATATTATGACATTAATAAAATTTCTGAAACCAAGGCATATAAACTGTCACTAGAGATGTTCTGATATGGTTTTAGATTAAATTAAAGACTATGGTTAATGATGATGTGTGTTTTTGTTACTATATAGGTTGGTGTGCTGGTGTTATATTTTATTTTCTGGGGTGATGTTCTGACTTTGTTTTAAAAAATAGTTAAGTTCAATATATTTGATTGATCTTTTCTCGCTCAATAATGTAAGATCATTCATTGTTAGATAAATGAGATAGATAGAGGGGGGGAGAGATCAAATAAAGGAAAAATAGAGAGACAGATAACATTCTATATATTAAGAATAGATAAAATATCAACATGAACATTGGAGCAAT